ATTGCTTTCATGAAGCAAATCAGGTGGCAGATTGGTTTGCCAAAGAGGCTAGTACATCCACTGAAGGCATCATTCACACTGATTTCCAGCAAGTTCCAAGAGCTGCCAAGGGTCCTTTCTTCATGGATATGTGGCAAGTTCCATCATTTAGAATTAGATATGAAAAATCGATTTTTTTTTGTAAGTTAACTCTGTGTATATTGAGAGGAAAAGGTCTAATAACTGTATTTTCCCCCATAGACTCTTCCTTTTTTACAGTAGAAAAGGCATCCAAGAGGTAAGATTTATGTCCCCTCTGTTGTACTTTTTGTTTATATAATAGACAAGGTAGGGGTCTAGCCAAAACCCCCCACACCATAGGAGGTGAAAGCGTGAAAGGTAAAAGGATGGAGCTTTTTAACATAGTAGAGAGCATGCTAAACCTAAGGTTGATATCAAGATAGCGACACTACTAAAAAAATAGCCTTTTTTCCTATAGAGTTCGTTGGTACAAAAATTTTTGTTGACCATGTGGCAGGAAATGCCAAATTATTTTATTTTTTAAAATTTTACAGAATCGACAGACTAGCCGTCTATTTTTTAGCGCCATAATACGCACAGTATGTAAGATGGATAATAATCCTCAACAATGTCTCTGCACCATCTGTGACATGTTGACTAACTGGTATGAGGTAACTGAAATCCTTGATATGGCACTTGAACTTTATTTACATATCTTAGTTAGTGTATGTGCGTTGCGCGTGTTTCTTGTATTAGTGAGACTTTTTAAACTAACATAAATATTATTTAAAAGTTGTTTGCATTACATTACAGTATAAAACTTAAAAAAGATGTGATTGGTTGAAATAAAGAAGAGTGGGCTGCTGTAAACTTGGACGGTTGTAACCAATCTGCAATCTTGTAAATTGGCAAGTAGGCAACAGAATAGATTTTGATTGGTTTTGGTGAGCATTCGTTCAACTATAAATAGGGGAGGATGTTGCCTCATTTAAAACATACCAAAACAAAGAGAAGTTAAGCAGAAAGCAAAGTAGTGAGAGTAATCCACAGATTGTTGTCTGTGAGATAAATAGTGAGTGACAGTAATATTATAGTGATGTGTTTTAAATAAAGAGTGTTATTTCTTTCAAAATTATAGTAGTCTCTTGACACTACTAAGTTGTAATATTATAGTGGTAATATTGCTCCTCTCGGGGTATTGTATTTACCTAGTTAAAAAAGTTGGTATCGTTGTTACTCTCTTGTGTTATTATTATTTTTCGTGAATATTATTTCTGGACAAGATTATTATTTTTCCTAACAGATCCAGTCTAGATTATTATTTTTCCTAACAGATCCACTCGAGAGATATTTCCTTTAGTTTGTTCTAGTACTTACTTTGTTGTATAAAAGTGTCATATGATTATCGTTAGAAAGTAAACACAACTTACATGACAATCTCGCTTAACATCGGACTTTGGGCTTTAGGCATATTGAGATTAATCACCTAATATACCGAAGCAAGGGGATGAATAGGCTAAATTCTTCATGGGAAAAGGTTTGACTAAATTCTACTCTCATGCATGTCTGGTTTTAATTCCTAAAATTGATAATCCTGCTACTTTTATTGACTTTAGACCAATTAGCCTTTCAAATTTTACTAACAAGATTATTTCTAAAATCACTTCTATTAGAGCTAATACTCTTTTGCACAAATTCGTTTCTTCGAATCAAAGTGGTTTTGTAAAAAATATACTAATATATGAGAATGTATTGCTTGCTCAGGAGATTATTCATAATATTGCTCAAATTTAAAAAGGTGGTAATGTGGTTATTAAGCTTGATATGACTAAAGCATATGATGGAATGTCCTGTGATTTTATTTATGCTGTTTTAAGAAAGTTTGGATTTTCTGATATTTGGATTTTAATGATCCAAAACGTAATCTCTAATGTGTGGTACTCTATCATTGTGAATGGTACTAGACAGGGCTTCTTCTCATCCTCTCAAGGGCTTAAACAAGGAGATCCCTTGTCTCCCTCATTATTCATAATAGCTGTTGAGGTCTTGTCTAGATCTCTTAACTGTTTGTATAGGAATCCTAATTATATCCCTTTCTCTATGCCTACTAATGTTTCAAAGATTAACCACTTAGCCTATGCTGATGATATAGTTATTTTCTGTAGTGGTGACTCTATCTCTGTTAAATTGGTCATGAAAGCTATCTCTAATTATGAAAGGAGTTCTGGTCAACTTGTAAATAGAGATAAAAAAAAATTTCTTAATTGCTCCTAACACTGCTGCTATCAAAATCAACAGGATTAGAAATTGCTCAGGTTTTATGGATAAGACTTTTTCTTTTACCTGTCTAGGCTGCCCTCTTTATGTGGGAAGGAAAAAGATTGAATATTTTGACAGCATGCTTAGTAAGATTGATTAAGACTTTATGGTTGGCAGGGTAAGTTTCTTTCTTATGGTGGTAAAGTTGTTTTGATTAAAAGTGTGCTCCAATCCATCCCTATTTATACTTTATCTGCTATGTCGCCCCTTAAAGGTGTGTTTAGATTAATTGAAAAGTATTTTGTCAACTTTTTCTGGGGTAACTCTATTGATCATAAAAAATACCATTGGAGTTCCTGGAACAATCTTGCTCTACCTACTGGGGAAGGGGGCATTGGTATCAGAAGAATGGAGGATACTAGTGATATGTTAGCCATAAAAAGGTGATGGAGGATTAGGTCCACATCATCTCTTTGGGTTACCTTCATCAAATACAAATACTATGTAAGGGCCCATTTAGCCTTAAAGAAACTGGCTCTAGGTAACTCTTATACTTGGGGTCATATTCTCAAGATGAGGGGTATTGCAGAGCAGCGTATGGTTTGGCGGGTAAACTCAGGGTCTAGTAGTTTTTGGTGGGATAATTGATCAGTAAAGGGCCCATTGGCAGCCTTGGTTTTCAACACTAGTAAGAGTGCTAGACCTTGATTGGGAGTTCATTACAAATGTTCACTGACATTTGTAAGCTGAAGGACTCCTTACCAGATCAATTGGTCCATCACATCAACTCTATAGTCATTGGCAATCAAGACTCTGATGATCAAGTTTTCTGAGAACTTTCTGATAATGGCAGATACTCTAACAAGAGTGCTTGGAATCTGGTAAGGAAGTCTAGACCTAAAGTGCAATTCATCAACAAGGTATTGAACTCTAATATTTCTTTTAAAATGTCCTTTTTGGTTTCGAGATTATGGAAAGGTAAACTTCCTTTTGATGAGGTGATAACTAAGTTTGGCAAACAAATTATTTCTAAATGTAACTGTTGTCTAAACCCTTCTACCGATAGCATGAATCATGTATTCATAGAGGGACAAGTTGCTAGTTATACTTGGAATCTATTTGGAAATGCTCTTGGTATCCTTTATCACCCCCACCCCCATTAGATATATGCTTAACACCTGGTGGACTACTAAGGCTGCCAATGATGTACATAGATTAGTGCTAAATATAACTCCTACTATCATATGCTAGTTCTTGGGGAAAGAATTCTGTGCGTGCAGATATGGTAATCAAAAACATTTCAACATATATAGATTTCATCATCAAATCTCTTGGAGTGTTGAGGCTGCAATCAATAAAGCTTATCCTAAATACAAGCTCAGAATGCCATGGAATATCTTCTGTGACATATTGACAAGATAAGAACCTGTCCACAAATGCATTGTGGTCCAATAGAGGAAACCAGATAGGGGAAAGATCAAGATCAAGAACGATGGGAGCTATCTCCTAGGTGAAAGAAAGGCAGGGCTAGGAGGAGCTCTTAGAGATGAGAATGAAGACATAATCATGGCCTTTTCTATACCCTTCAATGACGAAAATCACAACCTTGCTTAAGCTCAGGCAACATGGACTGGTATCGATTGGTACGTGCAGAATGGATTCACACAAGCCATCCTAGAGTTGGACTCTCTTTACATTGTAGATATCCTTCTTAAGGAGAGTACAACTAACTATAGATTGAGCCAAATCGCTGACAAGATTGGAGACATTTTAAACACCTCTGAAATCCAGATTATGCACTGCTATAGAGAGGCGAATCATCTTGCTAATTGTTTAGCTAAAATGGCAGCAAAAAGACAACAGGTTGCTTTCTTCTACTCCAACCAGCAACTGCCTAGTGAAGTTGAGGGACCTCTTATGCTGGATAAAGAACAGATGCCTAACATAAGGAACAAATATGATAAGGCTAATTTTTTTGTTAGCTAGGCGTTTGTTTGTAATTAGAGGCGGGTAACCTATTCATAATCGCCTACGCCTCATCTTTTGAAGGGTTTGCTCTATCCTTCTGTTGTAATAACAAAACTCTATTTTTGATTAAAACAACACACCAGTATATATAACTGGGAAAATTTATATAAACAAAAGGGATGAATAGGCGTGCATTTACTGTTATTGGATCCATATACATATAAGGTGTGTTTGGTATGAAGAAAAATATTTTTTAGAAAATATTTTATAATTTTTTCATATTTGGTTAACTTAAATATTTTAAAAAATATTTTCTAGAAGATAGATAGATCAAAAAAGCATGAACTGGTAGTTTTTGAACGTTAATTGAAAAATAGCCAGTGTTTGCAAAGTATTTGAAAAATAGCCACTATTTAATCCAGAGTTAAAATTTGGACAAAAATACCCTTAACTAAAACACGTAAAAATCCAGGATAATATGCTAGATTATAAAACTCCTGCTTATAAAGCTCCAGAATATTATACTGGATTCTAGCATATTTTGAGTTGCAGCACATTATGCTCGAATTTCACAAGTAAAAAAATTGTACGCCAGCATATTATGCTGGATTTTTCCAGACTATAACTAATGGTATATTTGTCCATATTTTATTTTCGCATGAAGAAACGGCAAAATTTCAATTAATTTTGAATTAATGACTAATTTTAAATAGCAATAGTAAATCAGGCTAATTAATACTCACTTTCTTTCAAAAATAGAGGAAAGAAGGAAATACACGAGTTAGCTCATGGTTTCATTTATGTTATAGACATCATTAAAGAGGCAAATACATAATAGCAAGCAAAAGAAATTTAAAGCAAAGGAACGAGGGATATTCGCTTTTAGCACGTTCCAGGAACTATTTACATTTGGTATCCGAAAAAATATATAAAATTTATATAATTTTTGTATATAACATCAGAACATATATAAAACTCCAACCTAAACAGAAACACTGCGGAGGACGACCGCCTCAATGGTTAGACCAGGCCCAAAACCCAAAAGGACGCCCCACTCAAGTCCTTCACCGGTGGTACCCAATCCTTCCCTGGTAGAGGCTTTCCTCATCTCGTCCAAAACAAACAAAACATAGGCACTGCTCATGTTCCCGTATTCACTCAAGACATGCCTTGTAGCCTTGAGTTTTTCAGGCTTTAGACCCAATTTTAGTTCAATTTGATCCAAAATTGCACGTCCACCTGCATGGGATACCCAAAAGATAGAGTTCCAATCTGAAATACCCAAAGGCTGGAATGCTCCCACTAGAATCTTCTCAATGTTTTTTGATATTAGCATTGGAGTATCCTTATGTATTTCAGCTATCAACCCGGCCTCATTGAGGTTACCAGTAATTGCATGTCCACTGTCCGGGAGAAGAGTTTGGGTCGCGAATATAAGCTCAAACAAAGGCGTTTCTATAGTTATAATTGGATCGGAACCAATAATGACAGCTGATGCCCCATCACCAAAGAGAGTTTGCCCAACCAAAACTTCGGACTCGGTTTCATTTGGGGCATGGAAGCCGAGCAAACTGATTAATTCTGAGCAAACAACAAGAACCCGAGCATCTTTATTATTCTCAGCTAAGTCCTTGGCTAATCGGACAGCAGCACCACCACCAAAACAACCTTGTTGGTACATCATGTATCGCTTGACTAATAGGCTAAGTTCAAGAAGTTTAGTGAGTTGATAGTCAGCACCAGGAATATCCACACCACTAGTGGTGCAAAAGACCAAATGAGTAATCTTGGATTTGGACTGACCCCATTCTTTGATGGCCTTTTCGGCGGCTTTTTGGCCAAGTTTTGGTACTTCAACAATCGCTATGTCTTGCCTAGCATTAAAGGAAGGTGCTTTGTATTCACAAAAATTAGGATTTTTTGCCAAGATTTCCTCTGTTAAGTGAAAGTACCTTCTTTTTATCATTGATCTGTCACCTGCAACGTAACATGATGGAAAATGTAAACCAACATATCTCTAAGGTGCATGGTTCAATTAGCATGCTCCTTCAAATTTAAAGCATAGAATTCATTAATAAATAAATAAATCACAACTTTAAGAGTAACAGCGTTTGAACGAGCGAAGGAGTTGCTAAAACCAGCCAAAATATTACATTCCGATATTGAAATTTTTATGTAATGCCTCAAAGTTTTAATAAAGATGAACTCGTATCTTATCTTAGATTAAAGTGATTCAATAAGTAATAAATGTGAAAGTGATTGACTTTAAATAACCTGACGTTAAGCAAGATTTTCATGTACGTTGTGTTCAATTCATGGTTGTATTCAAGTATACTGCATAACAAAAACGAAACTTGGAATTATTGATATTTTGAAAATAACAAAAACTAGATTGGAATGTCTTACACATGCGCTTAAACTTCTCCTTAAGCTCAGTTTTATGCTCACTGTTAGTGACACGAAAAAAATAGTCAGGACTAGTGCTTTGATCAAAACAGTTGGGAGGATTGGCCGTTCCAATGGCCAACACGGTGGCCGGCCCCTCGGCCCGTTGTGCCCTACGAATTTCCTCAACAGTGGCCATTTTTGTGAAACAAATAGTGATTTTGCTAGGTTTTTCGATTGCTGGAGGAAGTTTTTCAAGAATTCTCAAATGTTTGTGGTAGTTGTAGAATGAATACACTATGTTTGCATGGCCTCTCTTTATATAGCGTTTTGTCGTCGTAGTTAACGTGGCTTTTTGTTTGGCCCTTCAAATATGAACACAGTTGGCTTATTTCTACCCAATCATCTTGAGGACTGCTGCCGAAATAAATACTGATAGGTAGTAGATGTTGGAAAATAATCTCTACATAAATAATATTCACGATATACAACTGTCTTAAATGTGGATTACTAAATACAATAACAAACGACAATAATAAGAGAAATAAGGACACCGAGATTTTTATATAAAAAATCATTGTGAATAAGGAAAACATTACGGCCCGAGAGGAGCAATTGATTTCACTATAGCAAGGATTTTACAATTTATAGTAGTAAGTAAAATACTAAAAGACCAGTAACACTCAAAAGAAATAACCCTCTATTAATTTTACCAGCTCACTACAATACCGCTCAAATTCTCTATACTTTTCCTCACAGAGTATTTTTCTTCTTACTCTGTGTTTAATAAATGAAAATAGAGGTGCTCTTATAAAATTATACCAATATAAGCCAAGAAAAATAGATAAAACTTTTCTTCTATCAAGTTGTATTCAAGTCTATCTTATTGATGTCTTTTGTAGAATTAGAAATACCGTATATATAGTGTACAATTTACTTGAGAGTTACAATATATTAAATGAATGTAATAAACATATTCATATATATCCAAAATGGTTCATGAATGAGTTGTTGGACATTCACAAATTCAATGTATTCATAACACTCCCTCTTGAATGTCAATAGATAATGTACCTCGTTAAAACCTTACTAGAAAAAACCCAGCGAGAAAAAGCCTAGTGAAGGAAAAAGAGCACACATATCTTGAAATACGCATTGAGTGCTCCCTCATTAAAAACCTTACTAGGAAAACCCAATTGGGACAAAACCTTGGTTAAGGAAAAAAGAATACAGCGCGTATTATACTCCCCCTGATGAAAATTTTATTTAATATCTCGGAGACGACGCATTCCAATCTTATGTCTCAGCTTTTCAAATGTTGATGTTGGCAATACCTTGGTGAATAAATCTACTAGATTGCCACTTGAACGGATTTGTTGAACATCTATCTCACCATTTTGCTGAAGATCGTGTGTGAAAAAGAACTTTGGTGAAATGTGCTTTGTTCTGTCTCCTTTGATATATCCTCCTTTAAGTTGAGCTATGCAAGCAGCATTGTCTTCATACAATATCGTTGGAATCTTCGTTTTTAAAGAAAGACCACACAGTTGTTGAATGTGTTGAGTCACTGATCTCAACCATACACACTCTCAACTAGCCTCATGAATAGCTATTATCTCTGCATGATTGGAAGATGTAGCAATTAAAGTTTGTTTTGTTGAACGCCGTGAAATAACTGTACCTCCACAAGTAAATAGATAGCCTGTTTGAGATCGGGCTTTATATGGATTAGAGAAATAACCTGCATCTGCATAACCAGTCATTTGTGAATCGGATTCATAAAAATAAAATAATCTCATATCAATAGTCTCTCGGAGGTATCTAAAAATATGCTTAACACCATTCCAGTGTCATGTTGTTGGAAAGGAACTAAATCTTGCTAATAAACTTACTGCAAAAGTTATATCTTGTCGAGTCTTATTTGCAAGATACATTAGTACCCCAATTGTACTAAGATATGGAGTTTCATCACCAAGAAGCTCTCCATCATTTTCATGAGGTCGAAATGGATCTTTATTTATATCAAGTAATCTCACAACTATCGGGGGTACTCAATGGATGTGCTTTATCCATATAAAAATATTTTAGGATCTTTTCGGTATAAGTTGATTGATGGACAAAAATTCCATCTTTCATATGCTCAATTTGTAGACCAAGACAAAATTTTGTCTTTCCAAAATCTTTCATTTCAAACTCTTTCTTCAAACAATCTACTACTTTTGGAAGCTCCCCAGGAGTTCCAATAATATTTAGATCATCAACATACACAACGATTATAACAAATTCAGGTCCAGACCTTCTTATAAATACACAAGGACAAATTGGATCATTCTTATACCCTTCTTTCAGCAAATACTCAACCAGGCGATTATACCACATTCGCCCTGATTGTTTTAATTCATATAAGGATTTTTGAAGCTTTATTGAACAAGTTTTCTGAAAACGTTTTTTAGTTTCAGGAACTTTAAGCCCTTCAGAAATTTTCTTATAAATTTCGTTGTCTAATGTGCCATACAAGTAGGTTGTGACAACATCCATCAGACGCATATCAAGTTTTTCATGGGCTGCCAAATCTATAAGATACTTGAAAGTGATTGCATCTTCCACAGGAGAATATGTCTCCATATAATCAATGCCAGGTCTTTGCGAAAATCCTTGTGCCACAAGTCGTGCTTTATATCTAACGACTTCATTTTTATCATTTCATTTTCACACAAAAACTCATTTGTATCCCACTGGCTTTATTCCTTGAGGTGTTTGGACTATACGTCCGAATACTTCACATTTTTCAAGTGACGCTAATTTTGCCTGGATAGCGTCTTTCCATTTTGGCCAATCATTTCTCTATCTACATTCAATGACAGATCTTGGTTCAAGATCCTCATCTTGTTGCATTATCTCAACAACAACATTATAAGCAAAAATATTGTCGACAATAATATTATTTCGGTTTCACCTTTTTCCCGTAGAGACATAACTTATTGAGATCTCTTCATTCTTATTATTTTCAGGTACCTGAACCTCCTCCGAGGTCTTATCATTTGTTATGTCACGGGGCTCTTTTTGAGCAATTGCCTCCATATTATGATCTCCTAGATCATTTGCTCATTTTCGCTTTCGAGAATTTTTATCTTTGGAACTAATTGATATACCACGTTTCAATCGTAGCTTAGACTCATTTGTATTTATAGATGGTCCAACCGGGACATTAATTCGAATAGGAGCATTAGCAGCTGGAATATGTGACTTAGTCACCCTTGGTAGGTTAGTGAATGCATCTAGTAGTTGATTTGCAATATTTTATAAATAAATTATCTTTTGAACTTTGTGTTCACATTGATTTGTTCGAGGATCTAAATGAGATAGTGATAATGCATTCCAATCTATCTCTTTTTGTAATTATTTATTTTTTTCCCCTAATATTGGGTATATTGATTCATCAAAATGGCAATCAGCAAATAGTCATAGGTTCCAAATATTTTTTAATAGAAGGAGATTCATACCTAACATATATCCCCAATCATTTTTGGGGTCCCATCTTTGTGCGTTGTGGTGGAGCAATTGGAACATATACTGCACATCCAAATATTCTAAGATGGAAAATATTTGGCTCCTGACCAAAAGCCAATTGTATTGGAGAGACTTTATGATAACTTGTGGGTTTGATCCGCACAAGAGCTGCTGCATGCAAAATAGCATGGCCCCATGCTGAAATGGGAAGTTTTGTTCTCATAAGAATTGGTCAAGAAATTAATTGGAGGCGTTTGATCAATGATTCCGCTAGACCATTTTGAGTATGAACATAAGCAACTGGATGCTCAATTGTTATCCCAGTTGATATGCAATAATCATTAAAGGCCTGGGACGTAAATTCACCAGCATTATCAAGACGAAGTGTCTTAATTTCATAATCTAGAAACTGTGCTCTTAATCTTATTAATTGAGTTAGTAACCTCGCAAAGGCCAAATTGCGGGTTGATAACAAGCACACATGTGACCATCTTGTAGATGCATCTATCAAAATCATATAATATCTAAATAGTCCACATGGAGGGTGTATGAGCCCACATATATCACCTTGTATACTTTCCAAAAATGCAGGAGATTCAACTCCAACTTTAATTACTGATGGTCTAATTATCAGTTTTCCTTGAGAACATGCAGCACTAGAGAATTCTTTAGTTTGAAGAATCTTCTAGTTCTTCATTGAATGACCATGTGAATTCTCAATTATTTTGCGCATCATATTATAGCCGAGATGGCCCAACCGGTCATGCCAAATAATAAAATTATTAGTAAACTCCTTGTTCGAGGATCTAAAAGAGATAGTGATAATGCATTCCAATCTATCTCTTTTTGTAATTGTTTATTTTTTTCCCCTAATACTGGGTATATTGATTCATCAAAATGGCAATCAGCAAATAGTCATAGGTTCCAAATATTTTTTAATAAAAGGAGATTCATACCCAACATATATCCCCAATTGCTTTTGGGGTCCCATTTTTGTGCGTTGTGGTGGAGCAATTGGAACATATACTGCACATTCAAATATTCTAAGATGGAAAATATTTGGCTCCTGACCAAAAGCCAATTGTATTGGGGAGACTTTATGTTAACTTGTGGGTCTGATCCGCACAAGAGCTGCTGCATGCAAAATAGCATGGCCCCATGCTGAAATGGAAAGTTTTTTTCTCATAAGAATTGGTCAAAAAATTAATTGGAGGCGTTTGATCAATGATTCCGCTAGACTATTTTGAGTATGAACATAAGCAACTGGATGCTCAATTGTTATCCCAGTTAATATGCAATAATCATTAAAGGTTTGGGACGTAAATTCACTAGCATTATCAAGACGAAGTGTCTTAATTTCATAATCTGGAAACTGTGCTCTTAATCTTATTAATTGAGTTAGTAACCTCGCAAAGGCCAAATTGCGGGTTGATAACAAGCACACATGTGACCATCTTATAGATGCATCTATCAAAACCATATAATATCTAAATAGTCCACATGGAGGGCGTATGAGCCCACATATATCACCTTGTATACGTTCCAAAAATGCAGAAGATTCAACTCCAACTTTAATTACTGATGGTCTAATTATCAGTTTTCCTTGAGAACATGCAGCACTAGAGAATTCTTTAGTTTGAAGAATCTTCTAGTTCTTCATTGAATGACCATATGAATTCTCAATTATTTTGCGCATCATATTATAACCGAGATGGCCCAACCAGTCAGGCCAAATAATAAAATCATTAGTAAACTCCTTGTTTACTATGGCATGTGATTCAACTACACTAATACTAG